TCTGAAGAACTTCGTAGGCTGTTGGAATAACAAACGAGGAGATCTCTAGAACTGAAAAGCCCAGCAGAACATCATGACTCATGAGAATGTTTTGATGCTCATGGGGGAAGCACAAATCCATTGAAAAATGATTGGAGATGGACCAAGCCTATAACCATAACCACGAGTGCTAAACCAACGACATAGAAGACCTTTAAGCTTGTGCTTTTCGTGATAACGGAAGTGAAGACCACACTTATAAAAATGGTTCACAGTAAGTAGACCCAAGACCACTCTGCTTTTGCTTATCATTATGTATTTTGTCTTTGTTTGGCACATAATAATGGAATATCCTTCAGAAGACTGATGTGTGATGACAAAAATCAAAAGAAAGAGAGAGACTGAGAGAGATGGTTTGTGTCTGTGAGAATGGACTGTGAATGGAGATAGCAATAATATGTAGACAGTTCTTTAAATGTTTTTTTGTCTCGACATCTCACGTTGACAACTTCAGCCTTCAAAATAAGTTTTTACTTCTATGTGTCACTCTCAACGTGTGTATCCAATGACATAACAGTTAAATAAAATAAAATATAACTTTCGTAGAAATATTTGATTTTCACGTACAAAGACTAAGAATCTTATTGTTTTCGTCAATTAAATATATGCGCTAAAAACCTTTTGGTTAATAATTTTGGAGGTAGATGATTACATATATATAGACCGTAAACTGGTTGAAAATTCAAGCTGGCTTGAAATAAATAACACGTTATATTTTTATTCGGTAAGGCGTTATGCTACTTAAAATACAAAACATACCAACTAGTTTTTCTAAATAATACGTTACTTTATAAGATGATGCGTTCTTCCTTTAGATTTCTAAGTTATATGCGAGGGTTATAACTAAAACCAGTGTGCTTTATGACAGAGTACTTAACTATCGTGAAATCAGATGATATAGTTGATAATAAGTTGATCCTTTTTAGCATCTTTTTGAAGGAAGTATTAAGAACTGTTTGTTTATTTTTTTTTTTTTTTTGTAGAAAAAGAAAGAGGAGCGTGCATGCTCATCGTCCACATACAAATTTCCAAATAGAGACAGAATCTCATAAAAGCAGTAAGGTGTCAAGTCGTCCTCATATAAAAGTCCCCAATTTGTTTGTGCCCTTGTTGATCTCTCTCAAGATTTTCATTTTGGATTCATCCCAAGAAGGTAATCATACACAATAATTGTTTCTCCGTTCAAAATGATAGAATTTTAGTATCCTTTTTAGTATTTTTCTGACATTTCTTTTCCACTGAACATCATGGAAATTTCATATGTACGAGACTGATATGATAGTGGTTTGTGAAAATTTACAGAAACTAGTACTTTTTTTTTTCGCTTATGTTAGGTTGTTAGCAATGATTTCTTAACCCAAAGTCGTACATACTAATGTTCTGAAGTTAAACATCATGTTGTTTTGTGGAGTTGGAAATTTCGGTTATAGGATTTGCTCGAAAAATTCTAAATCATACTCACAATAAGCTGTGATTTTTCTTCGTGACTCCTTAGGCTTTTGTCTTTTCTCATTTTAAATAAAAAATTTGTAAGAAAGCCTCGAACAAGTCATTCATCTGTACGGTTTCTTAGTTGGCAATTGTTAGCTTTTTACCAAAAAAGTTGTGATTCTGTTTATGAAAAAAACCCCGACTACATTCCTTTTCATTAAATGTACAATTGTGACCCTAACTTCTCGTAAGGGGGAATGTTCAAAATTGTATATATTTTAAAAACATCTCTGATGTGTTTTTTTGACATTTTAATTATCTCTAATTGTAATTTTATGTGTTAATATAATATCTATGCAATATGACTGGTTGGTCAGTTATAGCTCATAAAGTTGAATGGTAAGACTGGCCTTGTGCGTAGAACCTTGTCCTCCTCTCTTCTATAAAACCAAAAAGTGCATCAGGTATGTATATTTCTTTTTATTTCATTTTTTTCTAAAGATTCAGGTTAGAGCCCAGCTAGTATAAACTCTTTAGTTAGGTATAAGCACACCTATCAAGCAAACTGGCCCAAAAGTGTTTCAGGTATCTATGTCACTTTAGCTAATTGCCAGTATTTAGGTAGTTAACAGATACCTTACTATTTATAGTTTTAAGAAAGAGGACGAAACTATTCAAACCAACAAGAGTGAATTCTTTGCATAATAAACTATCCATTTTTTTAAAAGGTCAAATATCCTAAGAAAAAAACAAACTGCAATTAGAGTCATTATCTGTATAGTTTTCTTTTAAATGAAACATTCACATTATCAATCTAGTAATGCTCAATAACGACCATGTTTACTATCTAAACACATGCATGTCGTCTATTATCATTGTCGTTTGTATAAATTCTAAAATATATATTATTTGTTGTTATTTTTATTGTGGGTCACAAATGTACAGTGGTTGCTTTGTAAATGCCTATACCGGTCAAGAATTAAAAAAAACCCATTAATTCCAATTTTATAGCAAAATGTTGACGCGCGTGTATATCTATATGGACATTGTGGTTCCAAAAACTTGCAGATGTATTCGATGAACTTGCCAAAATTGTTTTTTTTTTTGCCAGGATCGAACCTGACTAAATCCATCATTATCCCTTTGAATAGAATGGTTTACCATTAGTTATAAAGCACATAATATTGATCTATAGAATCGACGCCAAATGAAAGTATGCAAGAATTGAACTACCCATTAAACGTTTTTGCATATACGACTTTGAACATGTTGGAATTTAGTAGACACGTGTAATCTTTCAATACAATCACAAGCCTTTTTCCGTTCTCCGGTTGGCCCATATTAGCAAGACTCATGTAACGTGTAGATACACTGTATAAATATCGTATTATACACGCACATACTTACAAAATGTAATAAATTTCTGTTGTTATTAATAAATACATGATACGATTTCAACGGTTATGGTTAGAACAAGTTGGCATGTCCAGTCAAAATGATATATATACGTTTCCGTATGTTAGATCTCTATTGCTTCATTGATAACACGATACACGTATGCTACATATTTAAATTGATACATGCCAATACCAATGGTCCATAACTTGGGATAATAACGACAAGAGGTTCTTTTAAGACGAACGACGAAGAACGATACAAAGAGATGGCGAAACTTTCCATGCAATTTTGTTTTTGTCTAATGCAAATATGCAATTATACTTCAACCCGAAGGAAAGGGATCTTACTTGCGAAAAAGATTGTCAGAAGAAGTCCAAAGATTCGTGACCAATAAAAAAAGAAGAAGTCTAAAAAGTAATGAAGTAATATATATATTTTTTAAAAACAATATTGTTATAAGAAGTCCATAGATTTTTTTTTTTTGGTTACATTTTAAGTTTTTAGCTAATGTGATTTACAATTTTTTTTCCAATTTTTTTGTGGTATTTTCTGAAGAATTGTAAGCAAATTCTCTTCTTTTTTTAAATAAAGGTTCCATAGATTTCAGAAACGTATATAATTTACAACTGCTCGTTTATCTACCACACATGCCATAACTTGTTTCTAAAATCTAGAACATGTTTTACCGTAATTCTTGGAATGTATGATCATCATTACATACAGTTAAAATTTGATTACAAGCAAATTGGTTGTAAATTAAAATTTGATACTAAAAACTACGAACAATTAATATTTTTGTTACGAAGACTAGAATTTGGTTACGGAGTGTGAAATCTTGTACTATAGAGCAAAACTGTATTTCATTGCAGAGATATATTCCTCATGCTATATATGGTAAAATATCAACGATTTTCGAGAAACACACCAAAAAATGCATACTAATTAAAATAATATTTGGATACTACATAAAAAGGTTTGTGGTTCGCATAGTCAACAAATTCTATTCTATTTTTTTTTCCCTTAACATGCAACGTCAACAAATTCTTATGGTACATACATATCTTTTCCAAAGAAGTTGGATTCGAAACTGGAGTTGCTTGCGAGGAAAAAAGTACTTCACTAATCACTAGTGACCAGAAGATGACATCAGTTAGACGACAACAGCTTTCAGTTTTATAGCGGAGATGACAACACTTTTGCGCAAACATGATATTTTTGGTCTTCATAAAGAAAAAACATGCTAAGATCGCTAAAAGAAATTGAAGTCTTTGTCATAGTGTCTTGTTGAAAACAATATGACTCGACATACTTGTTAAAAATATTTACTATAGTGAAAAAGAAAATCGAATTTAATTTATAAAGCAACTACACATACTCCTTTTTTTGGGTTAACTTCTCAAATATATTTTAAAAGTGTCAAATTTTAAGAGGAGTTTTTAGCTCTAATGCTGACAAACTGAAGATTTGTAAACAAAGTATCGAAAGGATTTGATTTAAGAAACTACTAACTTACACAAATTTACATTACTTATTTTGACTGCTGTCATTTTGGAAGACACGATATTTATAATTTAATCATGGACGTAACAAGTCTTACACTTACAAGTCAACATTGCCGGAACAAAACCACAAACACATATAACCAAATTAAAAAAACTAAAAATAAAAATATACAGGAGACATACGAAATGAATCCCAATTATAATCCTTAAGCAATACAATTACCTATATAACATAAGTTTCAATTGTTTTGAAGCAATAGAAACATTAGCAATATCCTTCCCCCTAACGGTGCCATATCCTTTCTTTGGTTTCAAACGAACCCACAATTTTTATATTATTTTTGGTTTTAAACGAACCCACAACTTTGGTTCACGTTAAATCTTATCTACATATATAGCTTGACAATACACATACTCTTGGGTTGAAATTTTCTTCTGCTTGTGATTTATTTTATGTTTGCGTTATATTGTAAATTCGTTACAAAACTTGTCACCTTTGATTAAAACTCATACAGTATGTACCCCTGAAAAAACTTTCTTTTGCGATTGGATGAAAACAGTTTTCAAAACGATCCAATTTTTCAAGATACAAATTTTGCTTTCTATCTTTTTCTTTTGCAAGATATAATCGCAATCACAAACATATATTAGTTGGTTTATTTAGAAATAATACACACTATATGCAAAATTAAGTTGACAAACTAACACAAACAAACAGTCGAAACACTACTCAAGGTCCACAGTCTCTCCATCTAACAGACTCCAAAGTTTCTCAAGGTCCATAGTAGCTCCTGGAATGAGTGCATCTGGCTCCTGGTTATCCTCTAGCAAACTCTCCCACCACATATTCTCCCCATTCATTAAACTGTTCGCAAGCTCATCTTTGTTACATGTGATACTATTTTCACAAACATTACTAATGTTGTTGAGTCCAAGGCATGGACGAATAACGTCAACTTCTGGCAGGCCATCGAGATGGCTGCAGCCATTGTTAACGTTGAAGGATCGAGGTCGAGGTTTATACACGTCTATTTTTTGGGCGGGTGTGAGAGGAGAGCAAGGAATGTTTCTCTTTTTCATCTTGGTCTTACAACATGGTTCATGTTTCTTACTTAAGTGGGTGTTCCAGTAATTCTTGACATCATTAGCGGTCCGACCGGGTAATCTACCAGCAATCAATGACCACCTAAGCATGCATTTGAACGATTTGAATATTACTTTAGTATTGGATCGTTATAGTAGGTAAACAATGTTTTAGGTTTGTCATGAGAATATAAACCTGTTTCCGAGAAGCTTATGAAGGCGAAGAAGAAGATCAACTTCATCACAGCTGAGTTTTCCTCTTTTGATACTTGGCTTCAAATAGTTCAACCATCTTAGTCTACAACTCTTCCTGCACCGATTTAGCCCTACAAAACCAATAATTGACAACAACTCTATTAAATGAGCGTACTAAGACTGCTTTCGTGTTTCTTAAAATTCTATCATGAAGAATCTATGCACACCAATAGAATTAAACTACTGTTTTACACACAAGCACACGTGTTCGAACATAATTAATCACTGAGTTCATTTACTAAAGGACAGACCAATAAAAGAGTTGGCATCTTTTCGTTTAGTCTACCAATATGCAACGTAAGAATTTTCTCTATGTATAAAAATATTGAACGTAAGAAATAGTATCTTTATACAGTATATTTTATCTTTTGTCTGAAACACTGATCTTGGCTTAAGGTGAACATACATATGAACAACATAAATGATTTTTCAGGAATAACTTTAAATCACGAAACAATGATTTGTTCATTAAAACAAAAACAAAAAGAATGATTTGTGCACGTTGTTGATTAGTTGCATAATACTAGACAGAGAGAAAGAAAATTTTGGTAGTGATTATATATGTGTGTATAAATAAAATACCAGCTCTTAAAGGAACTTGATGCCATTTGCCTTCTCCATACTTATCAATGCATTGCCTCAAGAGACTATCTTCTTCAGCAGTCCATGCACCTTTTCTCAAACCTTTAGACGGACCCTCCATGGACCAAAAAAATAATATTATAAGTATCTAACCAAATTGTTATAAGACTTTACGTAAAGGGTCGAGGAAGAGGGTTTATATTGTGGCTTCAGAAGCCATTGGAGGACTTTATTTATACACGTGACGAGGTGACGTGTATGCTTGATATCCACATTTCATGTGTTTTATTGTCGTGCTTATTTTTCTAAGTTAGTTAGTTATGTTTTGCTACTGATTTAGACTAGCGAAAAGGTTAATAGCACCTAGCTAGCTTTTTCATCTTTTTTCCAGTACTTGAAGGAAAAAAACATGTCTCTTAACAAAATTAGGAGAAAGGACGATTCATGATGACTGGTGGCAGATAGTTTATATGATACAAAAGGGAGTAGTTTCATGCACCAGAATTGGAACATAATAGAGAGTCAGGGTGGATGTATAAACAATAAGCTCTATTCGGTAGTACTAACTTTTCATATTTGTTTTGATATAAGGCTAACATTAATTTTGGATTCTTGCTTTTAATCGAAGATCTAACAAGCCTTTGAATTCTTATCCTTAATTTAGATAATCGTCTAAAATTTTCATTTAGCAAAATTGAACTCTCTACTCTAGTCTTTTTGTTTTGTTTAGTTTCTTTACCCTAATTCAGCTACAATTTTTTATACATAGATTACATAAATTTGTTGACACAAAAGAGTACACTATTTTCGCGAACATATCTAATATTAGAATCTTCATCCGTAATTTAAAGTGCTGTTGATTATATATATACTTTTGGCAAAGAGTTCTAAAACAAAATTTACTTTTGAACTTTTTTTTTTGGATGAATATGAGGAGCTAGAAAACAATAGAACAAAAAGTAACAAAAGGAAATCATGCAGGTTGCAATGGGCTTTTTTTGACTAACATTTTTTTGGCTAAGGTTAATTGCACTGAATGTTCATATTAAAACTTAATTTTAAGTCTATAATCATATCAAACTGATGGTTATGATATAGTGTATATAAATATATTGCCGAAAAACTCCTATATTAAAAGGTAAAACAATTATCTACATTTTATAATTAAAATATTGTCAAAATATTTGAATTTGTTTTAATGTTTTATAGGCTGATCACAGACAAATGTTATTTTACATAAATATCTTTATGTAGTATAAATTGAACTTATCTCTATTTCAGCTTGTATGTTATATAACGGAGTAAAACTTACAGTGGATAAAGTCCAAAGAGGTTAGAGTACAATTAAGAAGAGTTTGGGTATAGTTTGTAGTGATTTGGATTTAGTTTTAAATGATTTAAGTTATTCTATATATTTTATAATTTTGATTTAGGTTCAGAGGTTTGGATATAATAAGTAGTTGTTTGGGTATATTTTATATAGTAAATAGTGGCTTGGATTTAGTTTTAAATTATGTGTGTTTATTATTAGGGTTTATAGCAGATTAAAGTTTATGGTGGGTAACATCACATGGGATGAGTGTTTAGGTACAAAGTATTGGGTATAGTAGTAATGACTTAGGTTTAGTTTTAAAATATATGAATTTATATTGATGGTCTATAGGCGGATAAAAGAGAAATGCTATTCTACATATATGTGTACTATATATCGAGCTTATTTCTCTTTCGGTTTGTATGTTATAAACATGAATTTTTCATCTACACATGAATTTGACAAAACATACAAGTAATTCTACATACAAGCATTTTTTATCAACACATGATTTTTTCTCGATTAATGATAGGCATCATATTTACTGAATTTTAGCATTCATATTCACATGCTTTTGTGTCTTCTTCTTCCATTCCATCACATTCTAGGTCCATTTTGCATTCATTTTAGAGTTAGTAAGTCTCATACTAGGCATTGCATATTAGGTGCATTTTGGAGTGTATTTTAGGTACATCGGAGGCTTAAAAGGATCACTTGACGAATGAGGATCAAGCTGAGGCAAGAAGGAGTAGTTAGAAGAGCCAAAAGATCAGAGATGGTCCGTATCAGAAGATGGTGTCGAGCAACAACCTGATACAAAATGAGGGGGGATCATTATGAATGAGCCGATACACAAGAACTAGAGAAGAACCGCCTCCTGTTAGCCCTAGTATCGGGGTGAAGAATCATATCGGCTGTTTGTATCGAGGTGTTAGCTGATACCGACTCCTTCCTAGGCAACTTTCACTTTGGTCAACTCTTTTGATTAGGGGTTTGACCAAGCTTTGACTTCTTGACTATAAAAGCGAAACCTTATCTTTTTAGTTTGTTATGCTTTTATTCAATCTTTTGAGTATCAAGCCTTATCTCTAAACTCCTTCTTTCTTGTTCTTGAGCTATTTTCTGATTTTTGAGATTTGTAAGCAACACTTTGAATTTTATTCTAAATCTGCATTTTTTGTTATTAATCATCTATCTATTGCTTTTGATCATGATATATTTCACTATATGTCTAGATTTTGAGAGATCAACCATGATCTATGAGTAGTTATTTCTGGGTTTTCAGGATGGGTTAGATCTAGGATTATCTGATGCTTAAAACTTGATGTTTAGGTATATATGATCCAACCTCTAAATAGATTTACTTACCTAGCACATGAGAATATATGACTAAGGAGTTTATTGGCTTTATAAAATTATTTCTTCATGCTTGATGATATCTTGATCACTAATGAGAATTAGATCTTGATTAGGATATTTTCAAAGGAATCATTATCATAAAAGTGGATTGATTTGCATGTTCTGAGTTCTATGCTGAATGATAATGCATTTGTTGATTATTTGAGCATCTCATTTGAAGCTCAGGATCATCTTAGGACAATAACCCCATCCTAGAACCCTACTTTCATAATTCAGAATTTCTCTGTTCTTGCTACTTTGATAGTTGTGTCTACTTGTTTGACTCATTGCATATGGTAATGTTTCATTTAATTATTTATTGTTTGATGATCACTTAGGCTGTTAGCTTAAACAGAAAACTTCTTTTCTTGGCTTAGCTCTCTGAAATTCATGTATTCTTTGTGCAATATGGATTGATAAAAGACCCTATGCTACACTACATCTGCTTAGTAGTTGGGTTGATTGCTTAGTAGTATAAAAACCTACAATCAATTTGGCACCGTTGCCGGTTGTGGATAGTTTGTTCATAAGAATTTTGATTTTCTGTGAGACTAAGTCTTTTATTTACTTTGTTTACTTACATGATTTGCTTTGATTCTGTCCTTTTAGGTGTATGAACCTTAGATCTCAAGGATCAGAACATCCTCTGCCTCTCTTGGATAATATCGACCAGCTTGTGAGAAGAGACAGATTAAAGGTTCAGAGTGCCAATTCTGCTGTTGGACTGAACATGGATAACTAACAAGGTGCTGCTTGTGCACAGGGTGCACAAGAACCTCAAGGTGTCCAAGGTCCGCAGGGTCTTCAAGGTTTAGCTGGTGCTAAATGAGCTAATGGGAGAGCTCCAGTGCTCTCTCCTAGACCAACAAGAGTCATTGGAGCAGGATATGCTCCCAACACACATGCAACAAGGCATGAGATCACACCTCCTCCAGTGGTAAATAAAATTTTTGAGATCAAGATCATCCTTATTTCAGTGGTCCAAAGCAACAAGTTTCATGGAAAGAAGACCCACTTGATCATCTTGATCAGTTTGACCGAATCTGTTATATGACAAAGATAAATGGGGTCTCTGAAGATGACTTTAAAATCAGGCTGTTTCCCTTCTCTTTGGGTGACAAAGCACACTTGTGGAAGAAGAATTTTCCACATGGAACCATCACCTCGTGGGAGAAGTGTAAGCAAGCCTTCCTGGCAAAATATTTCACCAACTTTAAGACACCTAGGCTGAAGAATCTAATCTCAGGCTTCACTCAAGGATCTCAGGAAAGTTTCTGTGAGGCGTGTGAGAGATTCAAGGGGTACACTATACAATGCCTCCATCATGGTTTCTCCAATGAGTCCCTACTCTCCACTCTCTACAGAGGTGTGTTGTCCAAAATCAGGATGTTGTTGGATACAACAAATAATGGTAACTTCCTAGGAAAGGAAGTAGAAGGGGGTCTTGAGCTGGTGGAAAATTTAGCTCAAAGTGATGAAAACTATGGGGAAGACTTTGACAGAGCACCAAGGAGTTCAAAGGATGATCTGGAGTATAGTAGGAAAGAGATCAAAGCACTCAATGAGAAAATTGACAAGCTGCTTCAGGTGAACCATAAGAAAGTTCATTATGTTGGTGAGTTTGTTCAGAACCAGGATGATGAGGAGGTGCAAGTTGAGGAAGTGAACAAATTAGGAGGACAAAGGGGTTACAACAACTACAACCACTTCAGAAACCCCAACCTTTCCTATAGAAACAACAATGTAGCCAATCCTCAGGATCAGGTTTACCCTTCTCAAGGCCAATGCATGCAATAAAAGCCTTTTGTTAGCTACAATCAACAACAGGGGTTTAATCCCAAGAATACATTTTAAAGGAACCAGAACAACTTTCAGCCTAAGCCTGCCTTTGCTCCTCCAAGTTTTGCAAGCCAGGGACAAGGATCTCCCTCCAATGCGTCTGATACAGAGATCAAATGGATGTTACACCATCTTCTACAAGGCCAAACAACCAATGTAATGGAAATGGCAAAGAAGTTTGCTGATGTCCACAATAGAATAGACAACTAGTATGGTGAACTCTCAACCAAAATTGAGAATATAAATACTAGCGTCAAGACATTGGAGAATAGTAAGGGTATAGCATCTACCTCACGATCCCAAGGTCAGCTTCCTGGTAAGCCCAAAGCCAACCCCAAGGAATTCTGCAATGAAATATCTTGGGTTGAAATCCCAAGTCAAGCAGTAGCAGAACAACAAGCTCTGTTTCTTGAATTTATGAAGGAGGCTGAGAAGAGTTTTCAGATGTTTGATGAACCACAGAAGCTGCCCCCTAATCTCATAGCTCTTAAGGACAAGCTTCTGGCAAAAGCAAAAGAGCTGAGTGGAGACAACTTCTCAACTCCAGAAGCTGCACCACAAGAAGCTGAAGAGATCATTATCACTAAGAAGCTTAGAGATCCAGGATGATTCACTATGCCTTGTACAGTGGGAAACTTATCATTAA